TCCCCCCCCCCCCCCCCTTTCTTTATAAAATTATTATTTATTTTTTTTTTTTTTTTATCGAATTTTTTTAATCAAATTTTTTAATCGAATTTTTTTTTTTTTTTTTTTTAATCCAATTTTTAGTTTTATTATTTATAACCTTTTGTTCATTATTTATATTTTATTCTATTTTTTATAATTTTTTACAATGTAATTTACTTTTTTATAATGTCATCTGCATGTATTATTACCAATATGTTTATCATCTTGCAATCATGCTGTATCATCTTGCAATCATGCTGTATTACCACTAAATATCTGCTCACTACTGTTACATAATTGATGTGCCAGTGCTGCAAGGTGAACATTTTACCCCACTAATCTCCCAGAACATAATTTTTTTTTTTTTTTTTCTTTCGTCTTCCGTTTTCTTATTTATTACATCCTCTCTTTTTTCCATTTGGTTTCCTTTTACCCCCCAGTTAACATCCATGACACTATTCACCTGACAGCAATGGTCAATCACTGGTTAATTGGTTAATTGATCAATTAGACTCACGTTCCCTATATATTCACCCCTGTTCATCCACTTCCCCCTGCTTGAAAAAGGAGTGCACTTCCGCCTTCCATGGCCAGTGCATGCTCCGAAACGCGTCGCAGTGCACCCTGGGATCTGACATCATCACGGCCACGGCGCCGCTATGTTCCAGCGTGCGTTCCATCCGGCTTTGAGGGAGGACGTGCATGAAGGCTGGCCTCACCGCTGTTCCCCCTCCAGCCACCACGCTGTTCCAGCCGAGAGCTGACCTCCCCACATCGCAGAGAGATGACGGCTCTTCACCCGGGTTACCACCCCACCGTTAACTATTGTTAACCACGGTTTTTAAGCTTATGATTACTTCACACATGTGAGTGTTTCTACATTTAGACTTGAATTAAAAGACTTATTGCACTTAGAGGCGCTTCTCTCCTTTTTCTCTTCTCCATCAAACTAGCAGGTGATGCCAGGCAGCACACAAGGGTTTCAGTCCATCTCGACTATGGATTTGGGGAAAGGTTCTGCCAGATTGGAGTTATGAGCGGGCTCCCCGCAGATGTCCTCTTTGGAAATGATTTAGGGGAATTGAGGTGTCATTACATCAGGGCTGTGACCAGGAGCCAAGCCAGGCAAGGTCATCCAGCTGAAGAAGCCCATCTGGAACCCCCTCCCGCCATGCATCCATTGAGTGCTCCCAACCATGACCTAAATACCACTCTGACCTGGGACCAGGAAAAATTTGAAGGGGAACTGGACTCTGAGCCCACACTGAGATTTAGGTCCCAGGCAGATGCTGGATCATTAGAGGAGTGCGGGGAGCAATTCCTTTCAGAGCAAGGACTACTGTACCACCTGACAGACTCGAGCCGCCCAGGCCAACCTTGGACTGCATCTATGCAGCTGATAGTTCCCCAATGGTTTAGGTTCCCGCTGCTCAAAATTGCCCACGACATTCCCTTAGCTGGACACCTGGGGAAAAGTAGAACAAAAAAGACTGACCCAAGCATTTTACTGACCGGGCATCTCCCAGTTCGTTACTAACTTCTGCCAGACCTGTGATGTGTGTCAAAGGAAAGGGCACCTGGGGTACCGCCACAGGAATCTGCCCCCTGCCCATCATCGAGGAGCTCTTTCAGAGGGTGGCGGTAGATCTCATTGGCCCTCTGGCCCGCCCCAGTAAGTCATCAAAACTATATATCCTTACTATAGTGGACTACGCGACCCGCTACCTGGAGGCTGTAACCCTGTCCAGGATTTTGGCACCCAAGGTAGCAGAAGCCCTCGTCACCGTTTTTTTCCACGTGGGATTCCCCAGTGAGATCCTAACTGATAAAGGCACCCAGTTTATGTCAGATGTAATACAATCCCTGTGGCACACCTGCGGAGTAAGGGCTATCCGGACCACCTCATACCACTTCTAGACCAATGGCCTCTGAATGCTTTAACGGGACCCTAAAAAGCATGCTGAAATCCTTTGTAGACAGTGAGGGAGACTGGGGAAAAACTCCTTCCCCATCTTCTGTTTGCATATTGGGTAGTGCTGCAGGAATCCACAGGGGTTCTCCCCTTTAAACTCCTATACGGGCAGAAAGTCCAAGGCCTTCTGACTTTACTGCGGGAACACTGGGAAGGTTGAAGATACTAGCACTCCAGTTGTATCTTATGTACGGGAACTGCGAGATCAGCTAACCCGACTTGCTGCCGTAGCCCACAGCCACCTCAAAATGGCTCAGACACGGCAGAATATGTGGTACAACCATAGGGTTCTCAGACGGGAGTTCCCTGAGGGCCAACAAGCTCTCCTGATAGTCCCCCACCCTCAGAACAAACTGCAGCACACCTGGGAAAGACCCTAAAAGATCCTCTACAAAATTGACGAGACTAGTTACAGTTGTGTTCAAAATAATAGCAGATATCACTAACCTGATCAATCACTATTTTTGGTAGAAATGATATTTCTACATGGCAAATAATTTACTAGCAGGTGTAGAAGAGTAATAGAAATCCAACAGACCCAACAGTCATGACATGCATGCTGCTGATTCTGTGTAATTGAATCACTAATTGAAAGGGGCATGTTCAAAATAATAGCATGGTGGAGTTCTATTAGTGAGGTCATTCATTCTTTGAAAAACAGGTGGCAATTATTGCCCTTATTTAAGGAAAGAAGGCAGCAAATGTTGTACATGCTGGTTACAGTGCATTTCTCTCTGAAATTCTGAGGAAAATGGGTCGTTTTAGACATTGTTCAGAAGAACAGCGTACATTGATTAAAAAGTTGATTGGAGAGGGGAAACCATATAAAGAAGTGCATAAAATGATAGGCTGCTCAGCTAAAATGATCGCAAATGCTTTAAAATGGTGACCAAAACCTGAAAGACATGGAAGAAAGCGAAAAAACTACCATTCAAATGGATAGAAGAATAGCCAAAATGCCAACAATCAGCTCCAGGAAGATCAAAGAAGGTCTAAAGTTACCTGTGAGTACTGTTACAATTAGAAGACGCCTATGTGAAGCCAAGCTATCTGCAAGAAGCTCCGGCAAAGTCCCACTGTTGAAAAAAAGACATGTGCTGAAGAGGTTACAATTTGCCAAAGAGCACATTGACTGGCCTAAAGAGAAACATTTTGTGGACTGATGAAAGTAAGATTGTTCTTTTTGGGTCTAGTGGCCGGAGCCAGTTTGTCAGACGACCCCCAAATACTGAATTCAAGCCACAGTACACTGTGAAGACATGGTTGTGAAGCATGGTTGCGCAAGCATCATGATATGGGGATGTTTCTCATACTACGATGTTGAGCCTATTTATCGCATACCAGGGATCATGGATCAGTTTGCATACATCAGAATACTTGAAGAGGTCATGCTGCCTTGTGCTGAAGAGGAAATGCCCTTGAAATGGGTGTTCAAACAAGACAACAACCCCAAACACACCAGTAAGCGTGCAACATCTTGGTTCCAGACCAACAACATTGACGTTATGGAGTGGCCAGCCCAATCCCCAGATCTTAATCCAATAGAAAACTTGTGGGGTGACATCAAAAATGCAGTTTCTGAGGCAAAACCAAGAAATAGAGAAGAACTGTGGAATGTAGTCCAATCATCCTGGGCTGGAATACCTGTTCACAGGTGGCGGATGTTGGTTGACTCCATGCAACACAGATGTACAGCAGTTCTCAGAAACAGTGGTTATACAACTAAATATTAAGTGATTCAAAGGAAAGCAAAATCTTCAAACATTTTTCAGATATATATATATATATATATATATATATAAGTATAGAACCAGTGCCACGGAAATTGTATAAGACAAAAGTAAGCTGCAGAACCTAGCCTATAAACTTATAGGATATACAAAACTTTAAAAAAATAAGTTGCGCTTAAATACATACAAAAGTGTAACAAAAAATGTGACAAAACAATAAAAAACAATATTTTAAATCAAAGTGAAATCCATCAAAAAAGAAAAAAGTCCTGGGTCTGAGTCGCTTTTATTCATTACACACGCTGTCTATACTGGTGTCAGTCTGGACACCTTGCTTGTACGTGCATTTCTTCATTAAAGTTTGATGTTTTTTTAAAACATACTGCACCATGATTGTTCACTTTTTTCTTTCGAGTGACGGTCTGATCATCTCTCAGTTTGGATACTAAATCACCTTTGGAGTGGATTTTCAGCTTTGCAGAACATCATCTGTTGGAGTTCATCCCTCATTTCTTCGGTGTTGCTGTCACCATATTAATTATTGCTCCCAGAGTAACAAGTACTATATGCTGGTTTTTTCAACAATCAGCATATTACCAGTGTAACGGAAGCGTAGGCAGAACAGAGCACACGGAGAAGACGGGGAACACACAAAACTTTATTGAAGCAACAAATTGACAGACACTCAATTGTCTCCCTTTGTAATGTACAGCGCTGAGCGAACTATTGGCGCTTTATAAATACTGTATAATAATAATAATAATACTCTGTTGAATTTTATTTAACCATTTTTGGTGGTGGATTCACTTGGTGATTAATTATTTTGGACATTATTATTTGAACTTTTTTCTTTTTTGCTGGAATTCACTTTGATTTAAAATATTGTTTTGTCACATTTTTTGTTACACTTTTGTATGTATTTAACCACTAATCTACAGGGCACTTATACCCCCTTCCTGCCCCGGCCAATTTCCAGCTTTCAGCGCTGTCACACTTTGAATGACAATTGTGCGGTCATGCAACACTGTACCCATATGAATTTTTGTATCATTTTTTTTGAGACAGATAGAGCTTTATTTTGGTGGTATTTAATCACCTCATGGTTTTTTATTTTTTCTTAAACAAACCAAAAAAACAAATACCACTGAAAATTTAAAAAAAAAACATTTTTCTTAGTTTTTGCTATACAATTTTGTAAATAAGTGATTTTTCTCCTTCACTGATGTGCGCTAATGAGGGTGCAGTGATGGGCACTGATAGGCTGCACTGATGGATACTGATAGGCATTGACAGGCATCACTGATGGGCACTGTTAGGCAGCACTGATACATGGCACTGTTAGGCAGCACTGACTGGCACTGATGGGTGACATTGAAAGGAAGCTGAGATGGGCACTGATATGTGGCACTGATGTGCACTGGTATGCACTGATATGTGGCACTGGCACATGGCACTGACTGCTGGCACTTATGGACACTGACAGGTGGCACTTCTGGGGCCACACTGATCATCAGGGCACACTGATCATCAGTGCCCTGATGATCAGTGTACATGTCCCCTCCGCGGAATGCCGATTACCGGCTCTCCTCTCGAGCTGTCACGCTGACAGCTCGAGAGGAGAGAAATGCTGATAACCGGCATTTCCGTGTTTACATGTGATCAGCTGTGATTGGACACAGCTGATCACATGACCAAGCCGACATCTTCGGCTCTTTCCGTGATCCGCTGTGTCCGAGGGACACAGCGCAGCGGCGATCGCCGCGCTGAACGCTCCCTGAGCTCCATGCGCGGTGAGAATGGAAGGACGTCATATAACGTCCTATCAGAACGAGAGAACCACCTTGCGCCCGTCATTGTACTATATGGCAGGCGGAAGGTGGTTAAGCGCAACCTATTTTTTTTTTGAAGTGTTGGAATTTTTCAGTTTATATAGTGAATGTTTGAGTTTGTAAAGAAGAATACAAAACACTGCTATTTTTTTGAACAGTCTAATATTCACTTTTCTTCATTTTTTTTAGAGGAGCAACACAAATTTTATATATTTTTCTTCATGCTTTGATTTGGAATAGAATGTGTAGTGTTCCCAATGCATTTGTGTGTATGGAAATAAAAGCTATTAGAAGGATTTTGAGCTTTATTCACTTTTTTCAACACACTATTATTTTGAACACAACTGTATGTGATTAGCCTGGACGATCGTGACCAGCGGTAGCGCACAGTCCATGTAAAAAAGCTTAAAGAGTACCATGACAGGACACTGGCCATCTGCCCTACACCAACAGGTGAGGCCGATGAAGGAACCCTGCCTGACCTCCAGCAAGCCACCAAAGCCGCCCACTCCCTTGATCAAATTCCCACTGGGGCCCGGCTAAGCTCTCAGCAAATAAGTCAGATGCTGGCTGTACTAAAGGGATGGGCTGTCGCATTCTCAGCAGCCCCGGGACGTACTAACCTAGCCCTTCACCATGTAGAGACCCACGGACAAAAACCTATCCAACAGGCCCCCTACCAAGTCCCCGAGTCTGTAAAAAAACAGCCATCCGAGCAGAGTTCACAGAGATACTCCAGCTGGGTATTATCAGGCCCTCGTGCAGCCCCTGGGCTTTCTCAATGGTGCTAGTGCCTATAAAGGATGTAGATACACTGTTAGCAACGCTTACCCCATGCCAGGCATAGACGAACTACTGGACCAACTGGCCGAAGCCCAATACGTCAGCACCCTGGACCTCAGTAAGGACTACTGGCAAATTGCCCTTACCAAGGAGGGCATAGACCGCTCTGTCTTCATTATCCCTTTCGGACTGTTTGAATTCCTGGTGATGCCCTTCGGGATGAAAAATGCACCCGCCACCTTTCAGTGAGTCGTAGACCAACTGTTGGAGGGATACGAGGGATTTGCTTGAGCCTGCTTAGACGACATAGCCATCTTTAGTGACACCTAGGAGGAACACCTTCTGCACGTGAGAACCATCTTGGACCGCATATGCGGGGCTGGGTTGACAGTAAAACCAAACAAATGTCAGCTGGGAATGGCTGAGGTGCAGTACCTATCCGCAAAAGTCCAAGCCATCCAAGGCTGACCTACCCCTCAGACCAAAAAACAAACAAACAAGTAATGTCTTTTCTGGGCACTGCAAGGTACTATTGCAAATTTGTTCCAAATTTCAGCACTGTGGCAGAGCCCCCGACTGACCTTACCCGGTAAAACAGCCCTAGGATGGTGAACGAGACCATGGCCTGTGACTCTGCTTTCCACAAGCTCAAATCCGCCCTTGCAGTTAACCCTGTTCTGGCTGCCCCTAACAGACATTTTCTGGTACAAACTAATGCTTCCACCTACAGCCTAGGGGCTGTCCTTAGCCAAGTGAACGAAGCTGGAGAGGAACACCCTATGAAACACCCTTTCATTAGCCGGAAGCTTCTGGACAGGAATATCGCCTACGCCACCATTGAAAAGGAATGTCTGGCCATACTCTGGGCCTTAAAAAAGCTTCAACCCTATCTGTATGGCCGAGAACTCACCATCCTCATGGATCACAACCCGCTCACATGGCTGAATAGGGTGTCCAGGGATAACGGGCACCTCCTGAGATGGAGCCTCACTCTCCAACCCTCCAACTTCACCGTCCAATATCAACGGGGAAGCCAACACCAAAATGCAGATGGGGTATCCCGACACCAGGACCCTCACTAGGTGAGCTTACCCCCCCCAAGTGCCTCCAAGGAGACCCGCCGAGGTCCCCTTGTCGGCACTTGTGAAATAAAAGAGGGAGGGACTGTCAAACACTTCCCCCCTGCATTCCTGCACCCACACAAGTGGTGTGCTGGGCTCCAGGGAGCTGCCTCCTGCTGCAGACCCCGCATCATCCCCCCAGCCGAGCACTGAAGAGTCTGCCTCCCCACTGTGCCTGCATCTGGATTCCCCACATGCAGGCCACCTGGATGCCGCTATGCGATCCCCTCCCCTTGTCTCGGAGGGCACAGCGTGGCCCCGATGTTCCCGCACTCTGCACCCACCGGATACAAAGGCCATGCTCCCTGTGTGCAGCTGGAGTGAGGGGGCAGGGCATGCCGCCACAGCAACCCAACGTCAGGGCAGCAGTTGCCTGGCAACCAGAGAGCGCCCTGCTCAAGAGATAAATTCTGGAGCAGGACCCGGGCACACAGAATCTCCCTGTGCTGTGGCCAGAGTCTACAGTCAAGCCAGACTTAACCCATTGCCTGCCTTCTGCTGTGTGCCTACCAGACATAACCTATTGCCTGCCAGAGCCTGCCTTTTGCTGTGAGCCTCCCAGACAACCTATTGCCTGCCTTCTGCTGTGAGCCTCCTGGACTTAACCCATTGCCTGCCTTCTGCTGTGAGCCTCCCGGACTTAACCCATTACCTGCCTTCTGCTGTGTGCCTCCCAGACTTAACCCATTGCCTGCCAGAGCCTGCCTTCTGCTGTGTGCCACTTGGACTTAACCCGTTGCCTGCCAGGCTGCCACCCTGCTGTGTGCCACTCAGACTTAACCCATTGCCTGCCAGCCTGCTGCCGTTGTGTGCCACTCGGACTTAACCCTTTGTTGCCTACCCAAACTTGCTGATCCTTGTAGTGTGTCCCACTCTGTGGTACGGACTTAACATCTATTTAGCCAGAACCTTGCTATACTCATCATGTGCCCTCCATATCACTCATTAAAAGCCTTGTGTGTCCCACTGCTCTCCGCGTGTGTTCTGTCCCACCTACACCTCCGTCACAAACTTTTTTGGAGGGATTAAGTTAATTTTCTTGGTAAAAATGGACTGCAATTACAAAAAGTATGGAATCACCACTCTTGGAAAATGCTCATGTAATTGTGTAGAAAAAAAAATAATCACAGACACGACTCAAAACTATTTTCATTTAACATTCCAACCTTCTGGCTTTAAGAAACACTTAAATAAAAAAGAAAACTATAGTCAGTTGCAACAGGTTTTGCGGAGGAAAAAAAAATATGGAATCACTCAATTCTGAGAAAAATATTATGAAATCATGAAAAAAAAAACACTACAGTACACCATTAGCACCACCTCTGGCTTTTATAACATCTTGAATTCTCTGAGGTATGGATTTAACTATCAACAAACAGTATTCTTCATCAGTCCGGCTCCAACTTTCTCTTATTGCAGTTGCCAGATCAGCTTTTCAGGTTGGAGCCTTGTCACGGACTATTTTCTTTCATTTCCACCATAGATTTTCATTTGGATTGAGGTCCGCCTATTTGCAGGCCTCGCCATTGACATTTTGGCCCTGATTTACTAAGACTTGAGTCTACCAGCAGACTCTGAGCAATCAGGCAGACTCAGTTAAATCAATCAAGACCTGTCAGTCTTCTTTTTTTTTTTTTTTTTAATTTAAATATTTATTTATTTTCAATATAATATACACATTTCTTCATCAGTTTCATATACAAAAAGATCATTTTCCAAAACCCTATTATTACTTTACAACCCCTATTTTCTTCCCTCTGCCACCCCCCGAACCCCCACCCAAAAACCCACCCCCCCCTACAATGCCTCCATTTTCCCAATTAATAAACCCTCCCACTCTGCATACTTCTAATGACTTTTCCCTAACTAAATATACAAGAACTTCCTCCTAAGATATTACTTCGTAGATCTTGCTACAAAATCTTCCCATTTTCTCCACTTCTTAAAAAATAACCCCATCTTGTCTACTTGCATGTAGTATAATTTCTCCATCTTACATATCTGATTTGTTCTTTCTACCCAGTCCTCCTCTCTCGGTATCTCTGGTCTATGCCAAAACCTAGGAATCAGACCTTTAGCCGCATTCAAGTAATGCCATACACCGGAGTCTTTATATCTATTTACTGGTAGATCTGTACTATGTAATAGACACACCTCAGGGTTCAATCCTATTTTTATCCCAGTGATTATCGAAATTAATTGGACTATTTTCTCCCAGAAGGTTTGTATCATTGGGCACTCCCACCATAGATGATATAAGGTACCTATTCTTCCACATCCCCTCCAACACTCTAAAACCTTTCCCCCATTCATCTTGTGTTCCACGTTTGGTGCAATGTGCCATCTCGATAAACATTTATAAATTACCTCCACCTCTCTCATGCTTATATTTTCGTGTATCAACCTATATATTTTCCCTTGTTTTTCCTCATCTATCTCTAGTTCCAAGTCTCTTTCCCATTTTGCTATATACAATGGCTTTGTGTGTGTGTAACTAACTCGATGAGATTTTTTATATACCTTAGCTGTGCCCCGTTTCCCATCTCCGCGTGCATCTAACAACCTCTCAAATGGATTCCAATCCCTTCTCATTCTCAAAGGTTTCGGAAGATTTTTAACAAAGAGTTTTAATTGGTGATATCTCCATTCATCTATTTTAATAAAAAGTTCTCTTTTATCTGTTTTCAAGTCCTTAAGTGTTCTCAGCTGCTGTCCATCCATTATATCTCTCAGTTGAATATCCTCTTTTTTGAACCATTTTCCTATACTCTCTTCCCTACCTGGGGGAAAAAAAATCTGTGTTCCTAAGTGATATTAATTGTGAATTGAAATCCCATTTCATATATTTGTGCAAATTATCCCACACCTTAAAAACATTTACTGTGAAAACACTCGTGGAATCTTTTAAACCTCTATACTTTGCTGGGACCCATATATTTTTACTCAAGGTAGATCCGCT